CAAATGAATTGTTGTGCCATAGATTTGACTCAAATTAAGAAGTGTCCCAGGTAGATTTTTGAGATCTACCATTTAATTGGTATTGGATGGCAAAATTCTTATCTCGTGTTATAAAATTGCGTAATTGAGCGCAAATTACCGCACAGCAAAGTGCCATTTTTCAATCATTTTGCTCGGGATGACTGGCACTTGTGTCGTTAGATGAAACACAACATTTTTGAATGCCTTTTGGACATATTTTATATTATTTCGTTATTATAAGACCGTCGAAATTTGCACTCATCAGGTTGATTGAGTTGAAATATTTCCACGAGTTCTATATCCCGTTAAAGCACCCTGTATATTTCATTCCAATTATTTGGGCAATGAATCCAAGTAATAGTTATTATCTTTCAGTTGAATACTCATCCTTACATTCGATGAATGTTACCAAATAATTGGTTGGTTTGTAATGACAGTTTTTTTTATGGAAAGACTGCAATGATGTGAACGAATGTATATTTCTGAATCATAAGATGATTTGACATTGACATGAGCCAGTTTCATATTTTCTGAACACGCCTTTGTAGTTTTGATATTGTTGTTTTCTCATATTACCTACCTCATTTTTAAGATTTTTATAGACAGATTTTTCTTTGACATGTTGAATATTCTCAGATCTCCTCAATAATACCGGTATTTTTCGTACTTATAAACAACAAAATATCAAAAAAAAAATAGAACTAGTTTGTACAGTTGTTTTATGATGGACAAGTATTCTTATATAGGGGACTATTGGATGGCTTAAATGTACGTACAGTGCCATATAATATAGACGAAAATGTCAGAATATGAGCCGAGGTGTCCCATCATATAATATAAGACTCTACCAGTCATAAGAAATGCAAATAAAACATTAAATTTGTTCCTAGTAATAGTACGGTTCCTCAACAATAATTCGATCTCGATTTCAGTTATTTCAGGATTTTCATATAACTTATTCCAAATTAACAACAACAAAAATTCTATGCAAAAACGGATTCAATAAATTGTGCATAAATACAGATACTTCCATCTTCTCAGTTATAAGTCATGAAACCGTCAATATAAGTTTTTAACAGTAGGGACACCTGCGTTGAAGGCATCTTTATCATTCTTTTGAAGTAATCAAATATCTGCTGTCATTTCTGTCAGTCTAATTCTGTGATTTGGTTTCAAAAAATTGCGAATTTATTGGTTATTTAAATGTGAAAAAAATAGTTTTCTCAAGTTTTTCAAGTAGATTTTCTTTTCATAAACTAGCTGATGATGAAGGAATAATCCTTCTAAACATGTCCTTATGTCCATGACCGTTGGCCATTATCATATTGTTTATGTGGTGGAGTTGTGACTGTAAGTTCTTTCACCCCTACTGATTTATATCACCTCCACTGAAAGTTTTGGATCACCTACGTTGGTAACTTGACTTGTTATTGAGGTAGAAGGGATGTAACTTAGAAAATGATAATTGTTGAGGGGCTGGGTGCCTTCATTTATTTAAAAAAAGCTTGTTGGTGGTCGTGATACCAATCGATGCCAAGCTGATCAGAGTTCCTAAACAAAAATTCCCTTCAAATAGGCGAAAAAAATACAATTCGAATAAAAATAACGTGTAACTTTTATATAGCATAGTGAACTGTTATGACTCCGAAATATAGTTTTGCTAAAGAACGGCAGAATCATATTATATACACTATATTATTGAATAAAGATAGGTGTTTGTGTAAGAGATAGATATACTTAAAATGATTCCCGCTCTCCCCACACCTTATTTGCATTTCTTTTTCTATTTACTTACGTGTAGGTACTTGAAATTTTGTAAAGAAAGTTTATTTTTGAGATTTTATCTTTATTTTCTGAAATGTTCCTCTGATTTCTTTTACGAATTATTGTGTTAAGTTTTTATTGACTTTGTTTCATTAGAGGTAGGTGCAATAATATAATCTCTCAGTTATCGATGAATACCTATTTGCCATATTATTATTATTATTATCACACTTTTTTATTATTAATCTCCATTGTGTACTGCTTGGGTATCGTTTATACATAATACATTAATATTAAAATAACGTCTCTTATTTCTGAAAAATTTCCTTTATGCTTTACTGTACCCAACCCTGTACCAACGAGTTAAGAAACGATGACCAAGTTTTTGTCCGAAGTAAATTAACAACATAATAGCTTATATACCCTCAAGGCGATGAAGATTATTTTTCTATAATATAAAACTCTCCAAGTCGTCTCCACAATATTCAATTTCAAATTCAAGAATGGGGGGACATGTTTCATACCCAAAAGGTATCCATCATCAACCAGAAAGAAATTATTCCACAAAGGATAACGAAACAGTAAGTAGAGTATATCAAGTAAAACAAATTGGTACTCACGTGGAGAAGAAAAAAGCAAAAACATGGTCATAATGAGCATGGTTAAATGGTTGATAGAACATGTTTAGTTTAAAATAAAAATTGAAAATGAAGTGAACAAGTAATATTATTTAAATTGGGGCCCTGTACCCCAGATATTTGCTCTACGACCCCATACATTTGGTAGCAGTAATCGTAATCAATCACAGAATATGTCGGATTTTTTTCAATAAATACCTTGTATAAATATACTATTTTCTTTGACACTTTTCAGAACTGACGGAAGTTTTGAAACGGCTTACTTTACGTAATCAGTTGAATAAAGTAAGATATTCATTTCAACACCAGTTACGAAATGAAAATATGATTTAGATTTATTAATTTGGATCGAAATATGATGGTTGCAAATAAAATAGTGTACAAACCTCGGTAGGGAGTTTCATTCCTGTCTCGAGATTATAGCTAATCTCGACGCTTTGCGTCTCGGTTAACTAACTAATCTCACGACAGGAATGAATCACTTCCCACCTCTGTGTGTAATATAATATTGTGCTGCTACCTCGATACCACTTGGGAAATCTTATTTTGAATCAGCCATTTTTCCCTGATGACAATATCAAACGAGTATATTTCGTGAATTTTGTCTCTGATTTTTGACCATTATTGTTTGACGGATACTTCAAAGTGATGGGCAAAATCAAGTTGTCTACTAAGTTTTGTATAAAATATGTAGAACTGATAATTATTTCTGTTCAAGCTGAATTTTTCATCAAAATTCGAAAAAATATTGTACTTGACCGTTAGGAAACGAATTTTGGGTAACGCTTCGCCCATCCCACGAAATGCCATCGTTACACAAAATCGTTTCCTAATTGGTTACGTAAATTTCTATAAGGCGGCAAAAATATGGCATGTGAATCCTTATCCAACACCACTGTGTGAATTTTTGGCAATTATAGTGATTCCCAAAAATATGACTAGAATAATAGACAAAATTCTTCAGTAAGACAATATCAAATCACAATGCATACCAAAAACAAACCCCTAATCATCAAAACTAAGGAAAAAACTCAACAAATAATGCAATAATAAAAATCCATGCAGCTTACGATAGGATATACAGGGTGTTGCCATTGTTGGCAAACTTGGATGGGCAAATAAAATATTGTATTGTATGAGACATCATGACACAATAAAACCCAAGAAAGCATAAGATCCTCAAAAAAATCAAGTCCTTTTACCGATCTATCTATGCTATGAAATTTGAAACAGTGCCTTGTACTTGTATTTATATTCAATGATTGAATGGCATTGTTGGACCAGAACCGACATTGGGAATACCCAATAGTACGGCTATGTCCTTCATGAAGGAAATGCTACAGAGGCAGTTCCTTGAAACATAGCGGGACACACCAAGAATGAGACAATCAAAGCTCCATATAAAGGAACCTTCAAAAAGGCTCACGAGAGAGATCCTGTCACTTAATAGAAGGGATATCAAGATGGTAGTTGGGCTCTCAACTGGGCACAACCACCTCAACAGGCACCTAGAACTCATAGGGATCAAAGATGATCCCAACTGCAGATGGTGCTTGGAGGATGATGAAACATCATCACACATACTCACTGAATGCCCCGCGCTGGTGCATCAGAGGAAAGCTGCCTTTGGGAGCATTGTACTGCACCCAAAGGATGTGAAAGCCACTCAGATGAGGAAGCTGCTGAATTTCGTCAAAGAAATCGGCATGCCCAGCTGATTCACAAGACAAGTGGGTGCACAATGGGCCCGTCTGAAGAGGCCTGAGTGCAGGGGTCTACGCACCCGCCCACCTGTGCAGAGAAGAAGAAGAAGAAGAAGAAGGGAAAATAAGAAATATATTTTTATTTATCAATTATTACTCGTGTCTGGAATTCATGGATCGATTTTATAATCATAATTTTTATTTTATTTACCTACCTTACAACAAGTTATACTGTGTGAGATTTTCTTTGTTTATTCACTACCAGCATGTATACTTTAAGTATATTGCGAAATATGTGTTGTAAGAAGCATATTACGCACGAATGAGTGCGTAATTGCTTTACAACACACATTACGTACAATACTTTACCTACTGCCATATAGTACATCAAAAAAGTTTGGACTAACAGTCTGAATTATAATTCTTGACAGTTATGTCATCCGCTGTTGGCGGCGATTAAGCGATCATAACTGGCGGAATAAACGAAAACTGTGCGATGTGCTTACCGTACGTAAAGAGCTACTTACTGAGGCTGTATCTCGTGTATTCTTGCCTACTTTCTATAGTGGCCGTAAGTAAATTATGTCATGTAAACATTTTGAATAAACATTATTATTATTAGTATTATTGTTCATCTCATTTTTGGTAATATTATGCCAAAATTATCAAGCTTATTGATGCTTATCTGTGCTTCTGATCTCGCCAATAACAAACCTCTTATCAATGATTTACGAAAATTCCAGGAAAACATCAATATTCAATGTCTCTCAAAATGATTATATTTTTCGAAAAATTTCTAATATTACCCACTTCATTTAATGCTCTAATTTAGGAACCACGCTATATATTTCGGAGCTAGCAGAAAAAATCCAACTAAAAAAGTAGTACTTGTATTCGAGTCAACGCAAAACAAAAAAAGAAATGATCATACGGCCATAGACATGTTCAGTTTAGGGTGGGGGTTATAACCGGCCAATTCGAAGTCATCGAAGGTAAAGCTTTCGATATCCGTTACCTTCCTTTTGATCCTGAGCTTGGGAAAGGGCCTCGGTTCGCGTTTCACTTGTTCCTGTAGGGCCTCCACGTGATTCAAGTACACGTGACTGTCGCCCAACGTGTGAATGAATTCGCCCGGCTGAAAAATCCCACAGAACATAATATAATTCTCCTCAGACGAATTCTCCAACATCAGGAGATATACAGGGTGAGTCACGGTCGATGGTACTTTAGGCGTTTACGGAGAACGGGACATAGGATCGTTCTCAAAATTTGGTTACTCAATTAGTTGTTCTTGTTTTTGGATGTATGATAAATTGATATTCATCATACAGGACGTGGAAAGAAATTCTGAATTTAGAAAACCTAATCACGAATCTGCAATTGAAGGTCTATAAAAATAACAAGCTTCCTTCGTTCTAGTTTGAACCCCTTGATTGGTTGAAAGTATTGAGAAGTAATATTCTCAGATAAATTATGAATATGAAAAAATGGATATATTTACAGGGTGGCATTGACATAAGTGCAAATATTTCAAGCCTTGAGTAAGCTCGACGTATACTATCGAGTGGTACCAATGAAAATAATATAGGAATCAAAATAAAATTTGAGGTTAGACCCATTTTTCCAACCAAAGTTCCATACTGTAGCAATTCTAGCACAATCACGCGGATTTCAATCATTTAAATTGTTTTAAAGTTGCGAACTTAATTTTCTCTCGTTTTTTGTTCAATTTTCGGGATGAAATTTCTTGTTAATTGGAAGAATTAGGAAAAATCTGATATCATGGGAATATTCGTTAGATTGTATCATATTGATGTGCTGATTATATGTACTTATGTACAGAGCTGGGCAGTACTCGAGTACAAGTACTCAAATATTGTACTCTGAGTACATTTTGTGTACTCAGTACCCAGTACCCGAGTACATTTTCAATAAAGTACCCGGTACTCGTACCCGTAGCATTTCGGGAAAAGTACCCGGTACCCGCGTTTATTAAACGAGTACATTTTCCAGGTACTTTTTGCAAGAATAAACTTGTCTGTGCATATGCGAGTGCAACACGGGAAACCGCTGTTATATGTTATATCATCATTATCAGTCAGCACTTCAATCAGAACCAAACGCGGAGTTTTTGTTTTGTACACTGTGTAAAAGTTATAGAGTCAAGTGTTTTTTGTATCGTTTCTGTTGTTTTCTTAAGACTAAACCACACTAAACTAAGAGGTAAGGGTATAGTATTTTGCAATAATATTTCTCTTATATAGAGATACGTATAGACGTGAACAACAACAAATAAGTAGTTTGATTTTTGCTTCAATTTACGTATTAGTAATGAATAAGAAATGAATGGGTCAATTTTATAATTTGTAAAAGACAATTGTTGAAGTTGTTGATATTATTATTGTTAATAATAACTAATACTGATGCAAAATTTCTCAATTCTCTATTCAAATGTACTTGAAATGAGTACCTGTAAAATTCGGGTACTTGTACTCGGAGTACTTTACTCTGAGTACATCAAATGAGTGGGGTACTCGGTACTCTGTACTCGTTCTTCAATTATAAACAGTACCCGGTACTCGAGTACAATTTATCAGTACCCGGCCCAGCTCTGCTGAATGTACTTATTTCAAAAACACCTTGTATATATATAGAAATACATTGAGAATTTTGCGTTCTCTATGTGGTGGAAATATCAATTCATTCTTGGTTCATTCAACAGAAAACAACTACTTTCCTGACTATATGCCACGACGAACATGCTCTTGGTCTATCGATCTAAAATAATATCAGCAATTCAGCGTTGCCGCTTATACCAGGAAGTAGTAGCAACTTTGATATTTCGAAACTATTCACTATTGGTCAAAAGGGCTTACATGTCCCTATCTCAACTCTTGATTTGAAGTTGCTACTGCTTTCTGGTATAAGCGGCAACGCTGCATTGCTAAACATTTTTTAGATCGGTAAACCAAGAGCAACTAATTGAGTAACCAAATTTACAGAATGATCCTATGTCCCGTTCTTCGTAAACGTTAAAGTTACCATCGACAATGACCCACCCTGTATATCCTATGAAAATGATAAAATGTATTTGAAACATCAAAGAGTGATAATCGTTGATGTTGTGGGCTAGTGTGAGGAATCATTAAAGTCCATATAACAATTTTAGAAAGTACTACAGTACATTCCAGTTAAGTATGAAGTGAATAGTGAAATAGGAACTGTTTGACCTCGCTTTCTATTGGTCAAGAAGCCATATAATAGAAATGGTTAGTTGACCCAAAGGCTATTTAGAACGGTCTGAAGAAAAGTTTGTGAGTTGTCATGCGCTCTCATTGTAATAATCAACAGGCGGCTAGCGAAACGAATTAAACTTTGCTTGGAGAATGAAAACCTGAGAACCTGAAACAAACATTGAAAAAGCGAATCAGTGTCGGCTTCAACAGTATATGCCACCACAGATATTCTTCAGAAAGGAAGGAAATAAAAAAAAGGTAGGTTGTGTAGGGATTTGAACCCGGGGCCTTGGTGCAAAACTACGTACAAAACATATTCGTACATGGTCACCGAGCGGTCAACGTTATGCGCATGCGGAAGTATCAAAGCAAAGTGGAATCCGTGTCGCTAGAATCAGTGGCATCCATTGTCAGTCTTTACCTGTTCACTAACCACAAACACCTAAATACTATATAACCTCAATTTCTACCAACAATATTCTCATGTTTATCCCTCAAAAATCATAGATTTCATCCATTTGGTATTGTGCAAAACACAGGGTTTTCAAACTTGAGGTCGGCACTATTTCTAACTTGGTTATTATTGGAGCTACAATATTAGTTAAATTGGAAAACTAACTGTATTGTAGTATTTGTTCTGCTGACTATGATGATCGAAAGTAAAATCGAACATTGCGTTCACGAGTTACGTCAAAAGGTGATTGCTTTTTGAATGGGACAGCCAGTATACAATATTCTTTATCGATAGGAAATTCAATTCTGAACAAAACTGATCCATAATCATTGATTCTTATTTCAAAAATTATGATTTTTTTGATTCTGTTAGTCGAGGATGGTCGTGGTATTACTTGTCGCAACTTTATATTACTATAAAGTCAAAAAAATCGTGTCGACAGCTTAGTCAATTTTGAATTCAGGATATAAGACTTCATATACATACAGTTCTAGTTCAGAATCGAATTTTCTATCTATTGAGAAAATGGGTGTCCCATTTAAGGAATAAATTGAACTTTTTGACATAACTCGTGACGCGGTGTCAGATTTTTGTCGTAAACAGCGGAAAGAATTCGCGATAGAAAATAAGCGCACGCCACCTAACGGAGTTCTTGAAAGTTGTCAAAGCTGCATCTTTACTTTGTTTTTGTTGAATCACATTAGTATTTTGTTTGTGTTCATTGACCATCAAAACAAACCGCTCAGAAGTGTTCAAGTTGCTGCCGTCAGGTGAAGCGACGTGTTATTTTCTATCGCGAATACTACCATTTTTTTTATTTAACTGACTTTTCTACAAACGTCAAAAAAAGACAGGGTTCGCGCATTGATAACAAATTCCGTAGTGACACTTTTTTCAGTTTTCTACGTGACCACGACACCATGTGCGAAGCATTGCGCGAGAGAGGCCGTTTTGAGCTGGTTCAACACTATTTTTTATACTAAGCTAAGCATATTACTACTTCAGAACTATATTGTTTGACGTTTGTAGACAAAAAAAATGTTTTGCAACTCGTGCGTGAAATCACTAGATACAAAAAGAACTATTGTAACTTCAGTAATCACCAAATTAGCAATAGTGCCGACTTGAGTTTGGAAACCCTGTATACTACTGATGTGACCTACAGAAATATACAGGGTGTCCGGAAAGGTCATGTCGTAAATGATACGGCTGATAGAGTGAGCCAAAATAATTTCAGTACGTCATAAAAAAATTGTTCAATGACCTTGAAGGGTTGAATAAAAAAAATCATGTATAACTTTCAAACGGTTGTCATGCTGTCAATGATATTCAGGCGGCTGTTCAGTGATTATGTTTTATACAGGATGGAAAGATTTTTTTGTTTATTGGAGGTATTTTCGTCAGAGGTGACAAATTTGTCATTTCGCATCCACCGTTTGATTCCTTCATCTTTTTGCTACAAAAATAGAATTCTTCATTTTGATCGTTCTAAAAAATCTCATTTCTAAATCATACATCCCAACCGTTTCAAAAGTAATGAAAACTGTATTTATCCAATAACATCACGGTAGTTGCCTTTCCGGAACTTTTATGGTCAATAACTCCGAAATTAAGTGCTCTAGGATTTTTTTTTATATGAAGTTCTAACATTATTTTGGACCACTCTATCAGCCCTATCGTTTACCACATGGCCTTTCCGGACGCCCTGAATAATTGGATCACCATTAAACTTCGCAATCATCATCAGATATGTGTCCTGATTCACGTAAAACGACCTCTGCTATCGATGCCATCTACTGTATTCTTAACTGGAATATACCATAGTGGGAATTTATCGTTCTCTGAAAGATAAAGTACCTTAAGTCCCGTGACGTGAGCGATCATGAAAGTTAGAAGGGCATAACTGGCGATATTGAAAGGGACTCCCAGCCCCATATCGGCGGATCTCTGGTACAATTGACAGGATAACTCGTCTTCAGCTACGAAAAATTGGACCAGACAGTGGCACGGTGGTAGTGCCATCTCTGGCAAATCTAAAATTTGCACACAGAATGACTCTTGAAACAAATATCTCATAAAAAATTTCGAATCTGCCATGAATCATATAGTAGGTAGTTACATCCTGTGATTCATACCCATGACAATATAATGTTTGGAAGAGTTATTTTGAGTGTTCCGTTTTGAATACTTCAGTTCGAAAACAAATTCAATTTGATTTGTGTTTTCCAAGAACTATTTCAACAAATATTGATCAAAATATCGTAATCTAGTATTTATAATATTTATCAGAAATTGTTAATGGAAAATTTTTATTGGCCAGAACCAGGTTCCAAGATTCAAAACAAAATAATATCATATTATACCAATTTTCCATTCATGAGATTTATCTTCCAGGATAGACATGAGAAAGAAAATATGTGAATTAGTTCCAGAAAGGAATGTTAGGTATAGGTAAATCAGCAGGTTATTTTGGGTCAAACAAATTGTTTTCGGAAAAAATAATACTGCCAGTGTGAAATTATGAAGATGAAAAATATATGCTGTTTCATGAAATTCCCAATATTTCGCCAAGTTAATAAACTGGAAAAATTTTAAAATGTCCACTTTCGCATATTAGTGAAAAATTAGGTGGATAGATAATGCATGTAAAACCTATACAGAGTGTAATTTGATTTATAGCTGGAAATATAGGTTGCTTTGATCATTTCAAGAAGTTTACATGAACATATAATATGCCCTCTCAACTTTCGAGCTTTTTTGGGTGTCAAAATTTCATTTTCTCGTTAATGATTAAAACAACTTTGACAAATAATGTGAAAAGCTGTCACGTTCAGAATACTTGTAAAAACCTAATCGATTGAATGTCATTATTTATAATACAGAATATGGCACTAGCCTACTAGTTCAAAATAATTTTGTTATGCCACAAATGCATGAAAACGGTTTTGATTTTTCAACGTAAAAACGGTGCGTTGGACCGAAAACACTCAACGAGTCAAATTGTTGCAAAATAAATGAGAATTTCAAAAATGATTTCTATTTTCGGGAAAATCAAGGGCGTGCAATATTTTTTTTTCATCTCCAGGATCCATCCCATATGGACGCCACTGGTAGAAACATTGAAAATCTCCTACATCAAAAAATGTCTATTGGTGATTGTATTTCTATACCCTATAGCTCGAAAGTTGAAAGGTTTAGGGCATACTTATGTGCTTCAAATATCTAAGATTTAATTTTTTCGTCGACCTTAGCAAAAAATCACATTTTACGTTATAAGGCAAGGACTATTCGTCGGCAGACACTAACTTTTCGGCCGCAAACACGTTTTGTCCGCTGCAGCGTTGCCAGTTCAACTGAATTTTCAGTAGATCTCCTGATTTGCATATTGATCTACTCTGAAACATTTCATAATCTACTGAAAACTATTATGACACTTATTTATTGCTATAATTACCTATATTATTATTGATCTTTAGTTGATCACTTATAAATTGCATATTTCAGCATGCTTAAATTAATTTTACAAAATAAATAATTATGATTTGTATAAACCAAAAACCGACAATACTTTATTTGATTCAGACCAAATTCAATTGTTTATATACCTCTGTTATAACAGTTTGTTTCTTAGTTTTGATTTTTTATTTGTTTTGTATTTTTGTTCATTTCTACTAATCGTTCCTATTTTTTATATACCTAATTACCTACTCAAATCTCATAATCCCTGATCACACAATTATGTCCCATGGATATCCTTAGGACGTCCTGTCGGGACATTCAAGACGTCCATAGGAAGTTCGAATTTGATATCATGGACGTCCATTGGACATAGCACATTTGAAATGATGTACCTGCTGGGACATACCGTGGACTTCCTTGCTCGGACATTGCATGAGATGTACGGGATCGGACGTCCCAAGGACACTTATTTTTGGTCCGGGACATTCGGACTTGAATTGTACCAAATTGGGACGTCCCTAGGACGTTGTGTGCTGTTAGGGAACTAACTATGTTACTGTATTTTGTGATATTTGTGAGTATTTTCAAATTGAGAATTAGGAATATTATTATTTTTTAGGAGAATGTTTGTTTTGTTTGTTTCTATTTGATTGAAAATAGGTTACTTTTCTGTTTACTAAGAGTACATAATGTTCTGACGTCATAGGTTTATTTTATTATCCTTTCTTGGAATTCATATGGCATAAAATAGGTCTGCATTTTTGACAAGGTATTTAATGATGAAATCAAAAACGATCTGGCACCCTGGTCCGCGCGGAGAGTGAGTTGACAACAACTGTCATTTGCTGTTGTCAAATTAATTATTCACGAAATCCAATTGATTTCACGTGTGAATAGGACTGTCATGTAGATATGAGTGTTTCAGGTCGACGAAAAAATGTATTATGCACCTTGGCGAAAAAATGTCTATTGTCTAGCCTGATTGTTAGCCTCGGCTATGACCTCGGCTATCATGCATACTGGATTATAATACACAGTTTTTCGTCCTTGTTACATAAATAACTATATTAAACCCACCTATGGGATTCCAAGCACACATTATTATTCTCCTGTCATTTGGTCTTGTCTTTATGGTATTGATTACATGCGCCAGTTGATCGATTCCCTTATTCTTATAGTCAGCATGCATCCCCCTGTATTCAGCCCCATAATGGCGCCACTGGAACCCATAAACTGGACCCAAATCACCCTCTTCCCTGTCTTTCAACCCTAAATAAAAACAAGCAAACTAGGGAATTTTGCTGCCATGCTTATTGATATACAGTGTGTCAACCTCAAGGACTTTTATAATAATATATTTATGATATGTCATTTTCAATGGCATAATACAGGATATGTCACGAAGAGCTTACACTATCTCTTTATCAAGAATCAGATGGGAGATATACATAAAAATATACATGCTTATATACTGCAATACGCTCTTTTCATTTGAAATAATTTCGGCAATGCAGTGTTGCCGCTTCTATGAAAAAGTAACAACAACTTTGTTATTCCAAATGGAATACCCTGTATTTCATTGCATTTTTTAATTCTTCCTGAAGAGCTGATTCCATCGATATATCAAACTCGGGTCTATCGGAAATGATTACTGAGATATAGGGTGTTCAAAATCGAGATTTTTCAACTTTGGGATTTGTTTGTGTCGAAACTATACATTATCGGCCAAAACGGTTCACATGTCCCTATCTCAACTTTTGATTTACTATTTACTTATATTTAATCGGAACAGATACAGGGTGGTTTAAGATTCAGAACTCTGATCACCCTGGAATGGAATGGAATGGAATCAAATGCTGGTTGATTGAGAATTCAGAAAATTTGGAATGTTATTTGAATATGTTAGTTAGTTAGTATTAGTATTAGTTATAGATATATAGTTAATTATGTAAATTGTTCTTAATGAGAAAATAATTATTTTATTTAGTATTTATACATGATCATGGACAAGTTTTGAACTTATATTATGATCATGTTTTCATTGAAAAAAAATTACCATTATACATCAATGCTAACATGTATCTCTTATTTATTATAAAATGAATATACATTGATAAATAAATATTATTGTTGATGAATTGTCTCGATTGGACTATTAATGAAAAAATGTTATACTTAAAAAAATCCAAAAGGTTTTACCGGAGGATTTACCAGAGGTTCACCCTGGTAAAACACACACTGAATAAGAGTGAAGTAACCAATTTAAGTATTTCAATGTCAATATTTTCAAATGACTGCCCTCAATTTCTATATTTATCCTTCCCATTTTGGGCATACCTATACTTAATGTACAGAGGGTTGGTTTAACTTGTGAAGATATAAGATCTAGAGTGTGCATTAAAAAATGAAGAATGCACAATAAGTTTCAGTTCTGATGAGAATAAAGATGATGTTTTGTTCCAGGAATAATCACCATCAAAAAAATTCAACTGCCTAGACTATATAGGTATAATGAGTTAGAATAGAAAGAATTCAATTAAAATAGGGAAAGGAATCATATTATATAATGAATATGCATGGTGAATATATGAACATTCAATAATTAATAGGTATATACTCTTATTTACTTGAGTATATAGTTTTCCTATCTTATTAGAAAAATTCTCACTATATTCATGATCACTGAATAACTACAACATAAAATCTCATCTACTTCAGCTGTCAATAAGAAGTGTGTTTTATTCTATGAAATTTCACTAGAGAATAAATATATTTGCACATAATCTCCAGAACTTGTCTTGTGTTGTCTGATTTTGTATTCAAATACTTGAGATATATCCAGCTACCTACTTCTGGTAGCGATAAAACATCCAACCTTTATATTATATTATTGTACCTCCACCTAAATAAATTTATCTAGATAATGGAGGAAACATCATTCTTAGTATCCTGTTTTTATGAAAAAAAAGCTTTCCTTCAAGTACCTATTGAGTCTAAATATTCCCTGGTACTATTAGCATCCCAAATATGAACTTTCTTGTCTCTCAATTCCAGTGCATTAGTGCTTCCACGTAAGAACCACAGCAGCTCCTCTACCACTGCCCTCCAGAACACCCTTTTGGTGGTCAGAAGAGGAAACACCTCGTCGCGCAAGCTGTACCTCATTTGGGCCCCAAATATAGAAAGAGTACCCACTCCTGTTCGATCACTCCTTTTGATGCCTCTCTGGAAGATGTTTTTGATGTGGTTCAAGTATTGGCATTCATCATGCTCTTGTGAATCTCCTTTGCCAGATAGTCCATTAGTTACATGTTCTTTCTTGGATTTATCCATAGTTATTTCTATCGTTAATTTGTCACATTCTGCTTGTGTAACCACACTGAAATTCGTCCCATCCATACATTCTTTGTCCTAATATCTATAAGGGAATTATCTTACCTGGACATTTTGGCACTTGGCAGTTTGTACAAACTGTTATTATTATAAAAAATACTGTTTAAATTTATGAAATTCTCAGAAAAATACAATAACCTATCAAATTTGTCAACATACCTTTTTCCCGCCTTTTTGTTGTCAAACATTGTCATCACGTGACTGTTAAATTTGAGTAAATAGTGGGGGAAATTCAAAAATCTGTATCCCTTTATTCTCACACTCATTTTTGAATTACTGCTTGTTTGTTTCCGAAGTTGAGAACGACTGATGAGTGTGTTATCAATGAATAGGTATATTCTGAAGTCATCATGCACTAAGTCGAAAGGTTAAATTCGACTTAATTAATGCATACTCGAATCACTAGTTGAGGAACAAAGATTGATTTTCCATCATTATTAAACGGCAGCGTGCAGTTCTAGTCATATTCGAAAGAATAATAAGATAACAGGCCAGAAGACGAATAAAAAGAAAACCAAGTGCATCCACAAATTCACAATAGTTTATTATCTTTCCATCATCATTGTTCTGATATTGTTCTGATTCTCGCACAGGGTAAGCGATAAGAACCGGAAAGAACAAATAACTTAAACGAGAAGAAGAATATGTATGGTTAGGTTTTAATTTTGACGTTTCGTCTTTACACTATTTACTGTTTTTTGGGTGTTTTGGTTTCTACAAAGTGTAATTTGTTTATTAAATTGTATTATTATTAATATTTTTTCAGGAAACGAAGTGTCAATGATAGTATGTTAAAGTTGTTCGAGAGAAAACTAAACTACAATAATATTTCAGGTAATTATTACTTATGCAAACATCACATTGAATTAATTCATTTTGAACAAATATAACTTGAAATTATTATTAGGTTTGACTGAGATGTTTGTTTTGACCTTTTGAGGCACTCTCATGGAAAAGGCCATTGGCGTATCTATCATAGACCTATTAGGGTAGTTGCCCCATTGAAAATTTTTCAAAATATTCTTAGATAAGATAAGTACTGTCTTGGGTGTAGATAGTTCATGAGTCCCAGAGTTTATACTCTCATAGTTGAGCTCAAATATTGCATTGATTCAAAGCCCCATTTTTGATTGAACAGTTTGTGTGATATTATATAATTTTTGACATCAGATATCTGGAATTTCGGATCAAAAGAACAACAAAATGTAGGAAAAAGAATGCAACCATGTGTCAAACAATTCACTAGAAATCCAGTGGTAAATCAGCTTTGTTTCTTCACATTGAGCTTTTTAGGTCCATATTTCAGAACATTCTGATGTTCTCAATTCAACTTAGGAATTTCACATCATAGGAAGACAGTAGGTCTGCTTCATTAATTGTACCTCATGTGATAGGAAGCTCCAACAATTTTTTTTTTCAATTAATTCATGAATATCCAATCAAAAATTAAATTAACTGGATGTTCAACATTGGTAGAAATCTACTTCTAATGCACTCTCCACTCTGCAACTCTTATGAAGCTGTAGTGAAATAGGCAGAACAGTCGAAATATACATCCATCACTGCTGAATTGGAGTAAAGCTGCCAGGCACACCTAACATATATTTTATTAGTCTTGTGATGGAGGGAAGCAGGCACACCCTCGGGAATGTCCTTCCTTATTTAACAAATCTTTTTGATTGCCCTTCCTCTGCCTCACAGTTCCTGTTGATTTCATTAAAAAATTGGGGAAAGCAGTGACAGCACAGGGTGATTCACCATAAATGTCCCCCCCTCTAGCTCAGTTATTTTTGAACCGATTTTAAAATTTGAAATATCATCTTGAATGATTTTCGATAAAGTTTTTTTCCGCTAGATCAGAAAATACAGGTTGCTCGGAACAAGCGATCTACAGGGTACTATTTGATTTTTTTAAATGAAACACCCTATTTTTCATTTTATTTTTAGATTCTCCCTGAAGAGCTGATTTGATCAATGTATCACACTTGGGGTCTAGCGGGACTGATTACAGAGATATAGGGTGTTCAAAATCGAGGTTTTCAACTTAAGGATTTTTTTGTGACGAAACTATTCATTATCGGTCACGCGGTTTTCATGTCCGTATCTGAACTTTTGATTTACTATCTACTGACATTCAATAATTGGAACAGATACAGGGTGACCAGAATTCTGAATCTTGAAACACCCTGTAAATGTTCCAATTAAATTTCACTAGATAGTAAATCAATAGTTGAGATAGGAACATAGAAGCCGTTTTGACCAATAATGAATAGTTTCGGCACAAAAAAATCCTATAGTTGGAAAATCTCGATTTTAAACACCCTATATCTCTGTAATCATTCCCGCTAAACCCCAAGTGTGATGCATTGATGGAATCAGCTCTTCAGGAAGAATCTAAAAATACAATAAAATACAGGGTGTTCCATTTAAAAAAATCAATTAGTACTCTGTAGATCGTTCGTTCCGAGCACCCTGTATTTTCTGATGCAACGGGAAAAAAATTTCTGAAAAATCCTTTTTTCTGCAACCGACACAAAAGTCGTCCATTTTGATACCAAAATTAGCTCTTAAATTGACGTTTCTATTACTGACACAAAAATAGGAATGTTGCTAGGCAACATATTTAGTTCCTAGGAGCTAAAGTTGAATTTTAGTTCCTAGGAGCTAAAGTTGAACTTTAGCTCCTAGGAACTAAAAAGGATGTACTGGACCTCATCAAGAATAAACAACATTGTGACGGTTGGTTATTTGGGTTGAGACGCATACCTGATTTGTTTCCGATTTCAGCAGATTTGGCATTTCATACCCATGCTGGAGATATAAATACACCATACACCTTATTATAATAGTTTAGTATTGAAATTATAAACAACTCAGTTAAGTATTGTTGTTTCGATCAGGGAAACCTTCAAGATTCAAATACTTGCTTGATCTGTATTTCATTCGTTATTCTCGGGATGGATAACTTGTTTTTGAATAATCACGGCAAGCAATCGTTTTTTTGTCTCAAACAGCGATGTTGTTTAACTTCATTTGATTATCAAATCAAATACAGTGTAGTATGGAGAGGAATAAATAATCACTCTATTATCATTGTTGATATGTTAACTAACCTAACATTTTCCACGTCTTGTTCCTATAGCACTGGCGCGGTATTTGCCATTAGAGCACCTGGTCCATACACAAATATGTCACTCTGTGGTTGTATTAATATTGAAACTATACAACTCGAACATTCTAGAAAACCTAACCTGCTGTTAATGCAGGTAGAATATAGGTCGCGTGCACGATGACCGACCCTGGAGGCAAAATATTGAAACACAACCTCATTCTTCTGTGAATTATTGAAACACAACCTCACTTTTTCATTTGGTTACAGAGGAATCAAAGGATTGAATAGTTTTTCACAATATTTTGGCATACGAATCGTGTTTTGTGCGCTATTCATTAATTCGAGCATGCCTTCGCATTGTGCTGTTGTACAATGCACAAAAAATGCAGCAAGAGACTAAGGAATATGATTTTTCAGGTAAATAGTAATCTCACATAGTTATCATTATGAAATGTTGTCATTCCTTATTAAAATTCCTTCTGCCTTCTGCCACTTCTGCAATACAAGCTAATACTGCTAATAGATTGAAAATGTCTACAACACACACGATCGTCAGCATGTCAGACCAGTCCTCCCGATTGACTGCATGAATCCAATCTTCTTGCATTATTTTAGAAATTTCAGGTATATTTCTATTAGCTGATCCTATTGCAGAAGGAATTCCGATGAGAAATCAGAGAAATTACCAAATTTCAAATATGAAAACTATATGTGAGTGACTATATAGTAGGTACTTACTTTTAAATCATGATATACCAACCGGAATACTTCGTCTTCCGCTGCAGTTTTTGTGCATTTCACAACAGCATAATAATATGATATAATATGATATAAGCGAATTGATGAATAGCGGAAAAATACGATTCGTATGCCAAAATAATTGTGAAAAACTATTTCGATCACTTGTAAACAAATAAGAAAAGTGACGTTGTGTTTCAATATTTTGCCTCCAGCGTCGGTCATCTGACAGTTCTTGCACGCAACCCATTCTCACTACATGGATTATTTGTCAATATTTGTTGCATTGCATACATATGGCACGGCATTGGTGGTTACTTCACATGTTTATTTGAGTTAATTGTTTCGGTTGCAGAAAAAATAGCATGTTTCATTCGGATCAGAAGTGACTTTGTTCGACTCGCAAATTTTGCTTTCGCTCGGCTTCGCTAAACGCTTCGCCTCGCAAATGCAAAATTCGCTTGTCAAACAAAGTGTCACTTTTGATCCTAATAAAACAATCTACTATTAGATTATGTTTCAATTTTTGAAACGGTTCAAAAATAAGTGAGCTAGAGGGGGGGACATTTATGGTGAATCACCCTGTACAAATGACAAATTCATTTATGGATTATAGATGACACCTTATGGTGATGACTGAGATGTTTATAGTGATGACATTATGAACATCTCAGTGATGACATTGAAAACTACGGGAAAACATGTCTACAGGGTTGCTATCTTAGCGGTTTCGTCGTCAAATCTAGGGTTTTCAGGGTAAGGGGGAAGTGAATGCGACATTTCAACTTGATTTGCGACTTGAAAAATGTCGCTAATTTTTTAGAAATTGCGCTCGCTATGGCGACTTGTAGCGGTTTTTTTCGAATCTGTTTCCGACATTTCATGTTCAGCAGCTGGGCAACACTGCTTGTCTAACTTATTTCAATCTATTCTGGAGTTAGGATATTTTTCCTTGGTTTTAAATGTCATCATCATCATCTAATGACCTTGGCGACCGCGATTCTTTCACAAATGACACAAAAAGGGGGTTCTTGCTTTTACATCAATGCTTAAAATGAACGTTGTAAGAGCTCTTGGAGGGTAGGTAAATGAGCATACATTTTTTTGTAATCTAAATTATTGTATAGGTAATTCCAACCCAAAATTCGTAATGGTTTCTAATAATTTGATATCACCATATTATTCTCGATTGACTTGTGTACCTGCGTACACAATAAATGACAACTATGCATCAAACGTCACCTCTATTAGCACTGTTGCCAGAATAAATCTATTTTCAATACCTAGGAATCTACAGTATACATACACTGGTAATATCTAGAGTCACTGATAGATGGTATTAGTAGATAACAGTTCGGACACAGCTGAACTTCTGTCTATTTCTATTTTCTAAATTACAATGCTTGAGTGAATAAAAGAATAAGAC